GCTGTGGGGTCGCTCTTGGTCCCAGGCGGAGTCTGGTGGCAGGGGCACCCCGGCCTTGGCCTGTACTTGGCTTTCTCTGAGGCTGTTTCTGTGACATTCTCTTCAGAGGGATAAACTTTGCACTGCGAGAATTAGAATTTAATGCCAGTGCACTTTGTGAATGGAAAGTGGCACTTGTGTAATTACTTGCAATTTCAGAGATCACTCCAGCTGAACGTGGCACACAATGCCGGAAGCATAAATATATATTTGATGGATTAGGAGGCACTTTTTCAGTCAGATGGAAGGGTAACACGAAAGTTTGTTGTTGTTATATCACAGCGGAGAAGAGAGAGAGACTCCACGCCCCAAACTGTAAATGCAGAGGGAGGCCTGAGATGGCAGCCGGCCCCTGTGAGTTCCCGGGTGGCAGCTCTGGGGCAGGAGGGTCTGTCAGCATCAGAGATGCTCTGCAGGGCGAGACCAACCCCGCCGCTTTGCTCTCCGCCAGAACTTTTGCTTGGCCCACACACATGTGCCTGCACACATGCAAGGAAACACATGCACACATGCACCAGCATCCACACACATGCACATCCACATGCACGCACCCAGACACATATACGTACACATGCACACATAAATACATACAGGCAGCCCCCACAAACACATGTGCACACAAGGCACATGCACACACCCATGAAAGCAAACTCATGCAATGCATGCACACCAGCATATGCACCATATGTCCGCATGTATGTACACACAGGCACACACGCATGCCTGCAGATGCACACATAATGCATGCACACATGCAGTCATGCCCAAGAAGCAGAGGAAAATGGTAGGACAGCGAGTTTGGTCCCAGTCTCGTTTCCTAGGAATTCTAGTCAGTGAAGGTTTGTCATGGCTCGTCGGCCTCTGCATACAGCCAGGGAGCTGCATGGGTAAGCCATGCTATCACAGACCCACAGTGCTCTATGAGTCCTTTGGAAGTTCCATCAACAGCAAGAAGGTGGGGGGAGTGAGTGCCGTGAGATCCTGGCAGAAACCAGAATCTCTCGCAAGCTCGAAGGTGCCAGGGCTGAGTGGGATGGGGGGACAGCGGGGTGGGAGGGATACTGGGACCAGTGGTGGTGGAGAATGGGCACTGGTGGAGGGATGGGTATTCGATTATTGTATAACTGAAACCCAAGCACAAAAATTTGTAAATCTACAACTGTGCCTCATGGTGTTTCACTAATAAAAATCTAAAAATAAAAAAAGGTGTCAGGGCTGAGCAGGGCCACACCTAGAGATGCTCCCAGGAGGTCTGGGGTCAAGCTGAGGTCGGCATAGGCAGGTTGTCTCCCTGGCCCTGACTCTGACTCCTCCTGCGGGCACCCGGGACCGGGAGTGTGTGTGAGCAGTTGTCTGATGTGCCTCTCTTATCTGCGCTACCTCCCACCTCGTGTTCTTACCAGTGACCACCTCGTGGGGCAGCCTCTGTGTCATCTCTGGAACCGACGTCCATCCACACTGCAGGGACCCGGCCATCTTCTTGGACCCGCTAGCTTGACCCCAGGCTGGGAGCCGGCAGGAGGGGTCTCTGGAGGGGTGCTGAGTGAGTGGGCCAGCCGGGGGCCACTGTGAAGCTGCGGATTGCAGATGCTTTTCTGGGACAGCTTCTGGGACCTGGTGGACCCCACCCTTCGATGCCCGGCCCCATGGAGCTGGCCATACACCATGGGGCCACAAATGGGGTGCAGGGAGTTCGGGTGGGAGGTGCCTCGTGACCAGGGAGATTCTCTGGCCCCTGTAACTCTAAATCTGGGCATTTCCCCACCAGCTGAGTGAAGCATGATGTGATCGAGACAGGAAGTAGTGGGGAGAAGTTAATGGCAGAAGATCGGGGCAGGGAGGATGTCAAGCTCGTGACATTTTTAAGTGGAGAAAAAGAAACTTGGAGTGAAAGACACTGACCCAAGACAGTCTGAGCATGTGGGGGCGAGTGTTCTGGCTCTGCTTCCCCCTCGGGTGGGCCTGACTGGGTGGTGTCAGCTGAGAACCGGGTGCAGGCGTTCTAGCCCCCATCCAGGGCCCGCAGCCCTGGCACTGACCCGAAAATCAGGCGCTGGCAGGAGCCAGTAGGAGCCGGTTCTGGTTGTCAGCTGTTTCCATTTCTAATTATGAGTGTCTTGGCTGTTTCCATTTGGAGATGGCTCTCGGGAACCCCCTTTCCTAGTTGCTCAGGACGTCACAGGACCTAGTGGCTCTGGGCTGTCCAGCTGGGGTCCATGTGGGGCTCGGGGAGGTGGTCATGCTAGGGAGACCCCGGGCCAGTGGCCTGGGTCTGGCCTGTGCCAAATGAGTGCCTTTGCCCGCTGCTGTCTCTCTGACCCCCAGTTAAATGTTGGGTAGAATCTCCCGAGCAATGCTCAGGGTCCTCTTGGTGGCACCAAGCCAGCTGGGGGGCTTTTGTAGAGACTGCAAAGGTGCTGCTGGGCACCTCAGGCCATATCCAGCAGGGCTGTGGGGACTGGGCAGTGCTGGGTGCAGATTCGGCCCGTGGGGCTCTCCCTTTACCCCAAACTGTTTTAGTCACAGAATTCTAGACTTGATTTTGGCTTGGAGGGAACTAAGGTTTCTCCTTTTCACTTTCCTGGTTTTATTGTTGTTTTCTTTGGCCACTCCCAGGGACGTTCAGGGGCTACTCCTGGTGGTGCTCAGGGGAATGGCGTGTGGTGCTGGGGACGGAACTCTGGACGGTGAGTCCAGGGCTTGGGCTCAGCCCTGGCACGGTCTCTGTCCTGAGAACCTGGCTCTCATTTTCCTGACAAACCACCAAGAGATTGGCTCACTTTGACAATTCTGTTATTCATGCCCAAACCCGTCCTGCTTGACAAAAAAAGCAGGTATGGGCATCTTTCCACTGAGCAAGGGCCACAGTCAGAGCTTACAGCTGAGGGGTCCCTGGTCAGTGCATGTGATTGAGGGGTCCCAGAGACAGTGCATGTGTCTAAGGGGTCCCTGCTCAGTGTGCATGGCTGAAAGGTCTCTGGAGAGTGGGGAAAGGAAGAGACCCTTGGTGCTGATGTGTGTCTCTTAACACACAGGACTCTGTGAGCCAATGTTCCCACAATTACAAAAAAAAAAAAAAGGAGATATTTAAAAAAGTCTGGGTCTCTTTTTAAACATGACCAAGACTTGGCCTAAATGTCCACCCCTCCCCAAGCTTAAGAGCATATATTAAAGGTAAAATAAATGCATGCCCATGAGTAGAAATCTAAAATGAAATATTTAATTAGAACTCTGATTTGCTTTAAAGACAGGTGGCATCACACAGGCTATATTACACTCTCTTTATAATTTTTTTTGACAAAAAAGATACTGTTCCTTTTACAGGGCCACTGGAATATTAATACATGTGTAATAGGATTGGAACTGAAAATCAGCTAGAGATGGAGCATTGTACATTATTGGGAAAATTACAGTTTTGTATTGTAAAAACATTGAATTTTTTTTAACAATTTACCTACATTAATCAAAAAATTACAGCATATTTAATAATTTTACAAATTCTTCATAAAAAATATATCTCTGTACAAAAAGGTCTTTGCACCTACATCTGACAGCAGCATGTGGATGGCGGGTGGGCGGCGGGCAGTCTCCGCGGGTGCGGCCTCTTGTCCCCTTCGAAGAGCGTCATGTGGTCGCTTACAAAATATCTTACAGGAGAAAAAAATTATTGCAGCTAGCCTGAAGAAAGGCAAGGTGTCGAGAGAAGCAGCGTTTGGAGGGCCCCTGGCTGCTCCTGGAGGGGCCTCGCCCTGCCCGCCCCGGCCCAGGTCCTGGGCGTGTCTGCACACACGACCCACTAAGGCCGGGGCGGCTCCTGGCAAACGTGGCCACGAAGGCGTCTCCAAGGGACCAATATGATGGGGCTCGCCAGGGATGGCCTGGCTTTGCACACAGAGGAAGCGGGAACTGTGGAGGGGGTGGAGGGTGGGGGGACTCATGGATGCTGGGGATATATCCCTGGACCAGCAGCTGGCCAGGGATGTGGGAGAATCGCTCGGACTCTGAGCCCTCAGGCAGGGCTGCGGACAGTAGATTTGTGTCTGCCTATCTGTCTGTCTATGCTCGTCCACAGCTGCCCTGTCTGCCTGCCCCCAGGAACAGGGATGGTCCCCCCGGGGATGCCACTCACAGGCTCCCCAGCAGGTGTGACTTGCAGAGATGCTTGGGGCTCCGGGAGACGGTTTCTCGCTCCTGCTGGACCCCATCCTGGAGGGAGCTGCCCCGCTTCTGGCCCCTGTGGTGCACAGAGGCCCCCGCCAGGGAAGGGAGCGGGAAGATGCCTTAGGCTGCGCCCACCTGGCTGACTTTCACTGGGACACACTGTGTGTGGGGGTCCTGCACTCCCCTCGGGAGAGACTCCAGCATTCTCACCTTCAGGATCTCTGCTGAGTCCAGGCGCCTCAGGGCCCAGAACTGGGGACAGGGGCCATGGAGATCAAGGCCACAGCCAGGAGGCTTCCTCCCGCCCTGCCCCATGGCATTGGGGTGGCAGTGGGTCTTGGTGGGGGAGACATGGGCACGTGGGACCAGGGAGCGGTCGCCAAGCGCGTGGACCACGGGCATGCCCGGCAGCTGCCCTGCCGCCAAGGGGCTTCTCTCTTCCTGACTCGCCAGGCCTGTGGGATGTGAGGCTGAGATGAGGAGATGCGTATATACAGTGGCGCGTGTGTATAAACCCTGTGTGAATCATTTGTTAGCAGAATCTCACTCCGTCATTCCCAACACGCTAGTGCAAAAAAATTGTGCATGGGAAACTCCGCACTCCAACAGCCGACGCCCAGGAACAGACGGGGTGAGGGTCCTCAAAGCTGTCAGGCCTCCGAGGACTCGGGGGGTGCGCGGGGGTGCAGCTTCTGGAGGGGGCGTCCTCTTCATTCTTCTCAGATCCCGCCACGGCGGAGGGGGGTCCGAGAACCCAGACCAGCTCACGCTCCCCATGGCCAAGGACGTGGCCTGCGGCCCCGGGGCTGGCAGGAAGGCGACGTCGCCGCGCCCCGGCTGGCACACGGACACCGCCGCCACCTCTCCCGGGCTCCGTCCGACGGGAGGCCTCCATCGGAGGTCTGTGTCCGTCCCGGAGGCTCTGGCATGGAGCTGGCAGCTACACAGAGCAGCCGGCGGGAGACGGGGAGTCCGCAAAGCCGGGAGGGGACAGTGGTTAATGGCACCAAGGAATTCCTGCTTGTCCGTCGGAGGTATGGCTATGAGTCGGGCACGCGTGGCTACACCACAGTACACACTGTGTTCAGGGTCGTGTCAAAGCGCACGGCCTTCGCCTCGGTGGGCTTTAAGTTTGTGTCATACATGGGGTTCTCGAAGGACGCCTGCCCGTTGCTGCTCTCGTGCCCGGCGTAGCCGTTGTACTGCACTTTGGGTCTTGTCCTGCGAGGAACAGGGCCCGTTAGAACAGCAGGGTGTGAGGCTGGCTGCAACCCGCCCCCATCCACGGCAGGGCCCTGACTGGTCCCGGGTTCCCAGCACAAAGCCTGCTGTTGCTCTACTCAGCCTCGGGTCAGGGTGATGGTCACCCCCACCCAGGACCACTGCACAGGCCTGCCAGCCTGTCCTCACACACACACACCCCTCTCATTGGAGCCGAGCACATGGGTGTGCGGTCAAGTGACCAGGCATGTGCAAAGTGTCTCTCTCCCCTCGGAGACAAAGACTCACGGTTCCACTTCCAAATGGTGTCAGGGCAGAAGGGTCGGGGCCTCCCAGGAGCCCCCAATTCTGTTGCCCTGTTTGGGCGTCCACCCTAGGGGAACCTCTAGCAAGTAGGGGCTGCGGCCACTGAGACACTTTCTCAAGACTCGGGAGTGTGGTCCCGTTTGCAAATGGGGTCCTTGTAGATCACAAGGGCCCGGGGTGAGCCAGAGTCTGGCCATAGGAGGGACCAGCTCAGGTTTACCCCATTGAGCCTGAAAATGGCCTAAGGAGCCTCATCTCCTGTCCCGGGGCACAGGGGACGTAGGCTGGATATTCCCCCATTCCCTCCTCAGGGGCCACAGCTCCCCGAGGTATCTGGGCAGCAGCACCAGCACCCAAAATCATCAAAGAACGCTAGCACCGGGGAGAGGACGCTGCCCGCGCAGGCATGAACACGGCTCTGCAGACATGCGTGTCTGTTCGTGCGCCTCCCTCCCCTGCCCCCAGCAGTCGGGGCTGGGCAATACCTGTGTTTGTAGAGGTAAAAGGCAAACCCTGATAGAATGAGCGCGAAGAAGGGCACCAGGATGGCGGCCGCCACGGAGCCGCTGCTGGTGCCCTGGGGGTGGCCAGATGGGTCTGGACCGCTGCTCGAGGGATCTGGAAGACATAAGGGGCACGAGAGTTGGGGGGCTGCGGCCATGGTGGGAGGGAGACGCGGTTCTGTGAGGCAGAGGGGATGCAGCCAAAAGGCAGCAGGGGTGCTCTTCAGTACCCAGAACCGGTGGCCAGGCTGCCCCCAGCACGGGCACCCCATCCCTTCACTGTTGGTTTCTTTTTAAAAGGTTATTATTATTTTTAGGCCCTTGCAGAACTATTCATGATTGGGTTTCAGTCACACAGTATTCCAACAGCTGCCCCTCCTGCAATGTATATTCCCCAGCACCTATGTCCCCAGATTCCCTCCCGACACCCCAGCTCCCCCCCCAACTCCAGCCAGCCTGCCTCTATGGCAGACACATCCCTCCCTCACTCCCTTTTCTGTCCCTCCCTCCCTCCCTCGATCCCCCTCTCCTTTCCCTCACTCTGCCCCTCCCCTCACTCTTTCCCTGTCTCTCTCTTCTCTCTCCCTCCCTCACTCACTTTCACCCCCTCCATTACTCCCTCACTTCTCTCTCTCTCTCCTCTTGCATTAAAAAATTTTTTTTCAATTGAATCCCCGTGAGATTGACCCTTACAAAGCTGTTCACAATTGGGCTTCAGTCATACAATGTTCCAACACCCGTCCCTCCACCAGTGTACATTTCCCAGTACCAGTGACCCCATGTTCCCTCCCATCACCCCCAACTCCGGTCAGGCTGCCTCTATGGCAGAGACCTCTCTCCCTTATTCTCTCTCATTCCCTCTCTCTCTTCCTCCCTTACTCCGTCTCTTTCCTTCCCTCCCTCTCTCCCTCTCTTTCTCTTACTCCCTCCCTTCTCTTCTCTCTCACTCCCTCCCTTGTTCCCTCTCTCTGCTCTCTCCCTCAACCCCTCCCTTACTCCCTACCCCCATCTTTCCCCTCTCTCATTAAACCAAATTTTTTAAAATTGAATCACTGTGAGATAGTTCCTTACAAAGCTCATGATTGGGTTTCAGTCATCCAATGTTCCAATACCCGTCCCTCCACCAGTGCACATTTCCCAGCACCAGTGTCCCCAGGTTCCTTCCCATCACCTCCAACTCCGGTCAGGCTGCCTCTATGATGGCAGACACCTCACTCCCTCTTCTCTCTCTCTCTCTCTCTCTCTCTCTCTCTCTCTCTCTCTCTCTCTCTCTCTCTCTCCCTCACTCTCTCTCTCATTATGGGCATTATGGTTTGCAATAGCTTCTATGCGCATCGTGCTCCTAACAGCAGTGGCAGCTGGTGATTTTGGTGAAGGTTGCCCTGACATCTGATGAAGTCGAGGGCTTGTTTTCCTGCTCACGGCCATTTCCTGGCTCCCTGCCCCTTGTCTTCGGAGAAGTGGCTATTCAAATCCCTGAATGACATCTACTGGCTCAGCATTTTGGAGTCATGAGACTCTTTCCAAGTTCCGGATGTGACTTCTTTCCCAAGCACTGCTGGCCTTGAGCGGCGCCCCGCTTTGTTTGGGTGTGCGGGGGCCTCTCAGCTTTAACAGAAAAGCAGCTTCCTGCTCCTTCTTGAACACTTTTCTGCCTTCGAATTGTCATTCAAACAAACTTGGTTCCCGTCCAGGGTGCTAATCGCCCTCTTCTCAGTGTCTCTGCTGGCTGGAGACCATGAAGAGCTGGTTTATTTTTAGCCACCAAATAGGTTTTACCCACAACTTCAACTTCCGAGTGAACACTGGCTGCTGAAGCATCACTTAAATGTGGAATTTTCTAATTAGTTCAATGGGGACTTGCTTGGGCTCCAAATGGTTCGGTGAGGCAAAATGGTCCCAACAATCTGCTCGTCACCACTTGAGAATAAAGATCACTTTTCAAGGCTGCTGTTTTGTTAGACAAAAAGGGCAAGGGGCGATGCCAAGGAAATCTGCCCTGGGAGAGCGAGAGCTGGGCTTCAACGCTCCGGGAGCAAAATCAGTCACATCTGCACTTAGAACAGCTCAGTGCACACGGGGCCTTCAGCCGAATTAGCAAAGCCGTTGCCAGGAAGGGAAAGGATGGGGCCAGTTTCAGGCAAAAGAAACAGCGGGAATCTGGTTTATTACCTCAAAATAGCAGACCCGGGTCAGGTCACGCTCAGCCGCTGCTGACACAGTAAAGGGTGTCCCGGAAAGGATCGAGCTGGGACAGGCTCCAGGGCGGAGGGCCAAGCCTTCCTCAACACAGGGGGAATTTTTGTTTTGTAAATGAGGGAAGTCCTTATTCCCTTAATAAACTACATTGAACACAGCGTTTTGTGACGAATAATGTGACTCACTGCCTCAAATGACAAACGGACGGAATTCTACTCCATTACCTGTGTAAAACTAAGAAATCCTCTCTGATGTCAGTGTGGGACTCACAGATGCTCTCAGATACCTGGGTGAGACTCAGAATTTCTCTCTGATGCCTGGGTGAGACTCACAGATGCTCTATGATACCTGTAAGACAGTCACTGATCCTTTCTGACACCTTAGTGAGACTCCTGTGAGTCTGATATCACAGTCTCAGCTCTGATACCTGTGTGAGACTCACAGATCCTCTCAGATACCTGTTTGAGACTCACAGATCAGCTTTGATATCTGTGTCAAACTTACAGACCCACTGATACCTGTGGGAGACTCGGAACTTCTCTCTGTTATCTGTGTGAGACTCATAGATCCTCTCAGCTACCTGTGTGAGACACACAGTTCAGCCCAGATACCTGTGTGAGACTCACAGATCACCTATGATTCCCTCCCCTGGACAGCACTGCCCAGTCATCATTTGCGATGAGATATTCCTGAGGCATGGGGTCTGTGGCTCAGCTTAGAACACTTATCACGTACAGGTGAGACCCTGGGTTCAGGTAAAAATTCCCTGACATTTCTGGGGAGAAAAAAAGAAAATTTCTCTTCAGAAAACAGTTTTGGATGAGAGAATTTGCCGGTTGTACCTGTTAAGTCAATTCATCTGTGGAGACCTAATCCCACACACTTATTTGCAGAAACCCAGCCAGCAGAGAACCAGCCTACTCGTCCTGTTGCCATGACAAGCACTTGCTCGGAAGTCTGCCTCCCTGTGCCCACCAATCACCTACTCGTGGCCTCCTGCATACTACTTAGATTTTCTTTGGTAATATGGCTGTCTGCTTTTTAGCTGACCCCGTGTTGCTTTCGTACTTGTTCTCACACTGTCTCTGCAGAGGGAGGAAGTGATGCTTCCTGGTACATTGTCTGTAGCTGCCCTAGGTCCACGCTGCTGCCTGGCCATCTGTGGCCAGCCTGCCCAACTGTGACTGTGTGAGTCTCTCGGGTGACTGTCTCACCTTCCTGAGCCACAGGCTCCTCGCTGCTTCTCAGCGCAGACACCTGGATGCTGAAATCTGCTCAGAAAATCACACAGGGTGAAACTTACCTTGTCTTTCCAGCTTGAATTTCCCAAAGTCCTTTCCATTGATATCACCTTGGAAAGTGAACCCTCCTCGTTCAAGGCCTGATGCTACCTGGTATAGATGAAAAGGAAGAAGCCAGAAGCTGTGAAATGATCAATGCTCACTCGCCCCTCAACCCAATAGGCGTGCTTCTCTTCTCATGCCCAGATCATAGCTAAGTGGTTCTCTCCTTGCCAACTCCTTCTGGTGATGCAGTTGAAATGGGAAATTGAACACAAGCTTCCGTGGGGCCACACACGTAAGAACACATGCTTCCATGGGGCCATACACAGAACACAAGCTTCCATGGTGCCATACATGTAGGAACACAAGCTTCCATGGGGACATACACTCTCATCTTGACCTCAGGAAAGAGAGCCAAGGTGTGTGATGCAGGAGGTCTCACTCAGACATGCTCCCGTGCCTGCTCTCCTGACTCAGAGACTGGTACTTACATAACCATCCAGCGCCCATTCGTCATTCTCAAACTTGCTCACGAAGATATCTGCTGGGCCTTTGGTCTGGAAAGCTCTCAGGAGCAAGTGGGCCTCTTCTTTCTTATACACACCTATAGAAAGAGTGGTTCCCATGTAGACATGCATGGGGCAGGGTGGTTCCTGTGTAGACATGCTTGGGGCAGGGTGATTCCCATGTAGACACACATGGAGCACTGCTGTCCATGGCCCCTGGCCACACGCTAGCCCTGTGGTTTGCCATATGCCGTGAGACTGGGTGTCTAGGAGATCTTGGGCACCACCATTGGGGTTCATTGTGTCATTTACTATTCAAGGGGCTCTCAGAGGCACTCTCTTGGCAATCCTCAGCCCACTGGGTGGCAGTCAGTGCTAGGGCTGGAGAGGGGTGTCGCTTGTATCCTGGGCACCAGGGACCCCTGGGCTAGCCCAGGAGTGTGTGGCTCTGGGGACCACAGGCTGGGACCTCCCGGTGCTCAGAGCTGATTCCTGGCAAGCAGGAACCCAGGCCACTGTGCTGGACACAAAGAGAGCCCTAATGGAGTCCCTCCTCATCCAGGGGCGAGTCTACCCACTTCTGCCGACAGGGCCCAGCACAAACTGCTATGATTCTATCAGCCTGCCCTGAGCTCAGGAAAGTGTGTTGTGTGACCCCATGGTGTTGGCGAGGCTGCCCAGGTGAGATTGCCCAGCCCCTGGGCTAGATGGTGTCACTCTTCTGTTAGCCCCGGGAATGGGTGTGAGAGAAACACACATGTCAGGGTGCCTCCCCCCAGACTTGTCCCCACCATGGGCTGGGAGTGGGTGGGGCATGTCTGCCCCCTACCTGCCAGCGTCAGCTCCACCTGCTCTGTGTCCCTGAAGGTGGCCGTCACCTTGCCGCTCGTGGCATTGAACCCGTCCACGGTAAGTGTGGCCGGCTGCCTCTTCCCCAGGTACTCGTAGTGACCCTTCCACACGGAGCTGAGGAAGAACACGTCCGAGGGGACTGCAGGCAAAGAGGGGTGTCAGCACACATAGGAAGGGCAGGTGAGCCCCCAGCCCATGGCATGGCCCCCGCCCTGAGGAGGATGGCAGGGCCCTCAGGGCTCAGGAGCTGCACCTGGCGTGAGTGTTCGAGGCAGGCAGGTGTACTTGTGCCCACACACCTATAACTTTATACCTGTGCCCTCATACCTGTTCACACACACCTGTGCCCTCAGACCTGTGCACACACAACTGGCCCTCATACCTGTTCAAATACACCTGGGTCCACACACCTGTGCCCTCAGACCTGTGTCCGCACACCTGTGCCCCTCATGCCTGTGCCTTCATACCTGTGCACACACACCTATACCCTCATACCTGTGCACACACACCTGTGCCCTCATACCTATGCACACCTGTGCCCACAAACCTGTGCCCACATACCTGTGCTGCTGCCGAGGCACACTGCCAATACTACCGGGCTGGCCTGTACCCTGTGTGTGGACCCCAGCATCATGCCCCAGCATTACCTGGCCACATCTGCTCTCATGGACACAGGTATTTCTTTCTGCACAGTCCTCCGCTCCACCCGCAACCACTTGCAGGGCCCGGCTCTGCCTCCCGAGGCTGTGTTCTGGTGGGCAGCCTGTCGGCTTCCTGGAAAGTGCCCCTGGCCATGAGGTCAGTGGTGGCTGGCAAGAGTTGGGCAGAGCCAGCACATGTGGCCCTAGAAGCTGGGCCACAGGAGCAGCTGATCCAGGTCTGAGGGAGTCTGCTTCCCAGGGCCCATGATGGAGACTTCACGTTCTCCTAGCAGAGCACACACGGTCTGACCCTTCCCGATGTTAAATGTGTGTTTGGTTTGGTGAATCCAACCCAGGATTCTATTGCTTCTGTCTCTTCTCTGCCTTGGGCTATGCCTACACAGAAAACAGAACCAGTAACAACCCCAGCACCCTCCAAAACATGCATCGTTCGCCCATGTGGTATAGCTCGGAAAGACTCAAGGGGCCTTTCCCCTGTGTGCAGGGCTGTGGCATCTGCATCTGTCACTCACACTCACTCTGCAGCTCACATAGGCCCCTCCACGACCCCGTGCCTCTGTGCATGCATGTCATTGGGCACAGGACACACACGCTCTACTCCACACAGGCCCTCCCCTCTTTGACTCTTGGGGGCAGGTCTTGGTGTGTAACTAATGGGCCTGTGTGTCCAGAGAGGCAGCCCCAGCAGAGCGGGGCTGGCACCAGCAGCAGCATGGCAACAGCCCCCCGAGCATGGCTGTTTCAGGTTCTGCTCCCCAGCTGCTGGCTGGGACACCTGCAGAGATGCAGCAAGCACATCACCCGCAGGAGAGTAGCTTGCTTGAGGGGTCTCCACCACCTTACAATGGCACCCCCTGATAGGGCTTTCCATCAGAAACCAGCTCACACCTCGGCCTGGAAAACTCTGTGGGCGTGATGGTTTTCCCAGGGTTTTCTATCTCTGTGGACAGGAGAAGCGTGGCTCTGCCATGGCCTGGGGACGGATCTGACCTCGCTTCGGGAAGGTGTGACCCAGACAGAACGTGACTGGGCTCAGGAGGAGCACCTGCATCAGGGATGTCACAGGGCCAGGGACGGAAGTTGCCTGGCTGCACCAGAGCCAGCACGCGCCACATTTCAGCTGCTAGAATCTGGGTCTGGCCTGGAGGCTGCACGTTTCAGCAGTTTATGCCCACGGCATGCCCCGTTTGCCTCCCCTGGTGGAGGAGAGGGCGGCCACCCTCTTTAGAAGGCTCTCCGTTATATCACCGCACAGTAAGAGTTGCGCTTCCACCCAGAGCCCCCAGGCCCCCCTCTCGAGAAGACCAGGACGTGACTCCAATCGCAGACCACGGCCGTGGCATGGCTAGCCATCTGTAAGTTCCGGCTTTTTCAGAAATTGAAACATTAGTTGTTTATGGACCGAATGGAATCAGAACTTGGCATGTTACAGAGCCGGTCACTCTACGGGTTGGACTCTAGAGCTGTTCTGTATACGAACCTGGAGTTTTAGTAACTGTTTCATTAACGTCTCTCACTCCTTTACCTACAAGTAAAAAGACAAACTGTCATTTTCAAAAGCATTAATTTGTGAATATGTTTGAAAAAATAAAATGTCAAATCGGAGCAATTTTCCTTCCTGGACATCTGTGTGGGCCCTGGACACCCTCTCCATGGAGTCGGGCACCTCCGAGGAGGTGGGGACAATCTGGGCGCCAGCAACAGGGCAGCCCACCTTGGGGGTCTGGCGGGGTGTGTTACAACAGAGAGCCTTGCAAGGAAGGGAGGGCTGGTCACTCGGGTAGACGCTGGGTGCCGCTGGGGGTAGGGTCTGAGCTTCTCCCATCCCAGCTGCTGCTGAGCCTGGACTCAGTCCAGGACACCCTGAGCCTGGACTCAGACCAGGACACCCTGAGCCTGAACTGCGCCTCTGGCCCATCCTGTGGGGCCTAACCCAACCTCTTCATACTGGACACTGAGTTTTCATTTGTGTTTAAGCGTGAATCCCCTGTTCCAGGCAGAGAGGCACGAGGGAGGCTTCTCCAGGGTCCTGACCTGGGACGTGTCCTGGGCATAGACCTCCTGCCCTTGGCCTTGTCCCTTTTAGCTCACTCTGAGCCCAGGTGTGTGGGGGGTGGCGGGGGGAGGGCCCAGCAGTCCAACTGCCTCCAGTCTGCCTTGGTTCCCACTCTCATCCACGGACAGCCCTGAGAGGGGGAAAGAGACTCTTCCCGGAGAATTGCTTCGACACGGCGGAAAAACAGAAGCAATATAAAAAATACACGAACCGTTCCCCCCACCCCCCACTGCTGGGAACTGGGGTCTCAGGACCCATGGAGAGCTGTGCCTGCAACTGTGCCTGGCTCATGGCCACCCACCTCGATTAAAAGAAAACTCTCAAAAGTGGTTTGGAAGCATTTTCCATATTTTCCTTGCAACACCGGGCAGGCTGTGGATTTTCTTTGGCATAAGTGGGATGGGCAGAGAGACTGTCTCTATGGGACTGGCCTCACCTTGTGTCTACGTCTCAGGTACACACACACACACACACACACACACACACACACTCACACGCACAAGCAGAGGCTCCCGGAAGCAGCCCTGAGCGCACACTGCCAGGATACCCAGCACAGGGGGTGGTTGTGCCAGACTCACACCCGCAGGAGCAGTGCCCTGCTTTGCGCCCCTGTGCCTGGCAGAGCCATGACTTACTTTTGCAGATGGGGGATTTCCCCGTCCACCTCATGTCTGCTTTGCAAGTCCTGTGTTCAGACCCTCCGGCCAGGAAGAAGCCGGGGTGGCAGGAGTAGACCAAGGTGTAGCCGAAGGCGGGCAGGTCAATGGCCCGGACGTCCACGTGGGCTGGAGTCTCTGGCTGCCTGCAGGCGTGGGCTGTAGGAAAAGTTCTCCATCAGGGACGTGTGGGCTGAGACCCTGGTGACCTTTCACCTGATGATGGAGCTCGCCTGGGTTCAGCGGCATCCCCTCTCCTGTGTCCTCTGCGTGTGGGGTCACGACCAGCGGTCCAGACTGGCCACCCCAGCTTTGAGATAAACACACCACCTCTCATTGACCACTAAGGCCAGTGGGCATAACCTGCTGCCACGTTCCAGCCCAGGCTGTAAATGTGCAGACGTAGCCAGACACGGTTTTGTATTCAGCAAAATGAAGGGCTGCCGCCAATGAGAAGGTGTGTGTCCAAGACTGAACGGAACCATCAGAATCCAGCGCCTCTAAAGGCAGAACTTAGGGGAAAATTAAACGGGAGGCCTGAATACACATAACCTCTCATTCTCTATTAAACCTGCACATACATCAAATAAAGAGATTGGGTGGGTGGTATGTAACATTGTCACTGTCACTGTCCTCCCGTTGTTCATCGATTTGCTCGAGCGGGCCCAGGAACGTCTCCATTGGAGACTTTGTTGTTACTGTGTCTGGCATATCGAATACGTCACGGGGAGCTTGCCAGGCTCTGCTGTGCGGGCGAGATACTCTCGGTAGCTTGCGGGGCTCTCCAAGAGGGGCGGAGGAATCAAACTCGGGTCGGCCATGTTGGCCGCTTGCAAGGCAAACGCTCTACCAGCTGTGCTATCGCTCCAGCCTGGTATATAGAGTAAAATTGTGAATGCCATGGTTTCAAGCATTATATTTTTGCCCTTTAATTAAATTTCACCACCATAGCTGTTTCTAGCAAGCTCACACACACACACACACACACACACACACACACACACACGAATATGTATGTTTATCTGTGGTACGTGTGGATCTAAATACATACACACGCCTGTGTAAACAGCATGACCTGGCCCCTGTCCCTACCTGGTCAGGGAGCTGGGGGTGGGTCTGGCTACTCCTAGGACCTTGTGCCCACTAAGGCAGCCACTGGAGGGGGGGGGTCGAGCGAGGAAGCGAGGCAGGAAAACAGATTCCTGAGGCTCTCGGCCCCTAGCATATACCCGCCCCCCCAGGCCCCTGGTCCCCTGAGGTCCTCCCGCCCTCCCACCCCCGCCGAGGGCCCCTGGCCCAGCCCATGGGCACTCACGGATGCACTCCGCAGGCAGCCCGCTCCAGGTCAGGTTGGCCAGGCACGTGCGTGTGGTGGAGCCCTGGACATGGTAGCCCTTGCGGCACCTGAAGAACACAGTGCTGCCCACCTGGGCGGGCACAAGGGATGTCAGCACTGGCCCTGCCCGCTCTTGGCCCTCTCCCTGCTCTCTCTCTGCCCTCTCCCTGTTCTGTCTCGCAGCATCTCCTGAGATGCACTGACCTGGTCCCTGTACCAGACTCACCCCTACAAAGCCTGTGCTGTCTCACCCCTGCACGTCCCTGAGTTAGACTCACCCCTGCACAGCCCTGTGCTGAACTCACCTCTGCGTGTCCTTGAGTTATATTCACCCCTGCATGGCCCTATGCTGGACTCACCCCTGCACATCCCTTGCTGGCCTCACCTCTGCGTGTCCTTGAGTTAGACTCACCCCTGCATGGCCCTGTGCTGGATTCACCCCTGCACAGCCATGAGTTAGACTCACCCCTGCAAAGCACTGTACCGGACTCACCCCTGCGTGTCCTTGAGTGAAGAGTCACTCATGCACAGCCCTTGTTGGACTCACCCCTGCATGGTCCTGAGTTAGACTCACCCTTGCATGGCCCTGTGCTGGACTCACCACTGGAGAGCCTTTAGTTAGACTCACCCCTGCACAGCCCTGTGCTGGAGTCACTCGTGTGTGTCCCTTGAATTAGACTCATCCCTGCATGTCCCTTGCTGGACTCACCCCTGCACAGTCCTGAGTTAGACTCACCCCTGCATGGTCCTGTGTTGGACTCACCCCTGCACATCCCTTGCTGGACTCACCCCTGCAAGGTCTCGAGTCAGACTCACCCCTGCATGTCCCTGAGTTAGACTCACCCCTACATGTCCCTTGCTGGACTCACCCCTGCACGGCCCTGAGTTAGACTCACCCCTGCTTGTGCCTGTGCGGACTCATTTCTGCATGTCCCTTGCTGTCCCACCCCTGCACAGCCCTGAGTTAGACTCACCCCTGCTTGTCCCTGTGCGGTCTCATTCCTGCATGTTCCTTGCTGTCCCACCCCTGCGTGTCCCTGTGCTGGACCCCTTGCATGGCCCACCTGACATTCCTTACAGGCATGGGGCAGGGCCGGGCTGGGGCTCCTGCTGCTCTAGGACCTGGGTCTGGTGCTGTCAGCCTGCTCAGGGGCTGCGCACTGCAGGCTTCCCTGAGCCCCGAGAGGACTGGGCACTGCCGCAGAGGATGCGTCACCCCAGCAGGCAGGTGAAGTATCACAGAAACCCCGTCAGGGCGAGCTGAGCTGGAAGGATGGCAAAAGGCCCAGAAGCTGGCCAGGCCAGGCCCTGCCCCCTGGAACCACCTGACCACTGACCTCATAGCCCCGTGAGCTGTTCTGTATGCCGAAGTGTGGGGTCCCCGGGTCTGGGCAGGCATTGTGAGCGGGATCTGCAGGGACAGGGAGAGAGGGGTCAGTGCAGGAACACCAGCTCCTGCCTTGAGGGGTCGGCCAGAGCTGGGGTCCTGTTGACAGACGTCAGCTGATTTGGTGAAAGGGAGAGATGAAAGGAAACTGCATTTTCCATCTTCCTCCAGACGTCGTTGGATTTGGTCTGTGGTGCTTTATCAGTCTCTAAATCGCTCCGTTTGCTATTTCCTGTATCAGAACAAGCACATGCTTTCCTCGAGCCGGGTCTAATTTTCTCCTGCTGCCCTGACTCGCCATGTGGTTAATGATATACTATCTCGAATAATTATCTATTAGGAGCTTCAGATTTTTAAGGATTCAATTTACGGTCATCATCTGGTCATTCATGATATTATTATTCCAAGTTTCACAAGTTAATTTCGTTCCAGACTTCAAGATGAGAAATAAATTTCATGCTTCGAAATTGGAACCCCAGGTGGGCCCCTGAGGACGGACATGGGAGAACCAAGGGCGAGGGGACGACACTGGCTGTGTCCAGCGGTTAGCGGGAGCCAGACCAGCGCCTTGTAAAGAAACCTTGCTTGCCTTGAAGGGAAACTTCTCACAGGGGCATCTTGTGTTGCATGACCCTCGGTGCCCACACCCCACTGACCGTCGGTGCCCACACCCCACTGACCCTCGGTGCCCACACCCCACTGACCTTAGATGCCCACACCCCACTGACCCTCGGCGCCCACACCCCACTGACCCTCAGTGCCCACAATCCGTTGACCCTCGGTGCCTATACCTGTGGACCCTCGGCACCCACACCTGCTGACCCTCGGTGCCCACATCCCTCTGACCCTCAGTGCCCACACCCACTGACCCTCAGTGCCCACACCCCACTGGCCCTTGGTACCCACACCCACTGACCCTCAGTGCCCACACCCCACTGGCCCTCACTGCCCACACCCACTGGCCCTTGGCACCCACTGTGGGCAGGAGGGAGAGCTCAGTGCAGGCAGGGCCTGATAGCCCGGGCCCTCTGGCACCTACCGATGCAGGCGGGCTGCACACCGCTCCAGGTGCCATCGGCCTGGCAGAGCCTGCGGGCAGAGCCCACCAACAGGAAGGGGGCCTTGCACTGGAAGGACACCTCAGACCTGTAGGTGAACGTGGTCCCGCTGAGCCGGCCCTCGCTGGGGGTGCCAGGGTCTCCGCAGAACACAGCTGAGAGAAATGAAGGATGGGGTCAGCACAGGCAGCCCCCCCGTGAGGCCCCCCACACTTCCCCCCACCCCGGGCAGGACTGTGGTCGAGGCCTTGGGTACTCACGCAGGCACTGTGGGGGGTCCCCACGCCACACGCCATGGCCCTCGCAGGACAGGATGGCCGCGTGGGACAGCTGGAAGCCGGGCACGCAGCGGTAGCTGATGCTGGCGCCCCAGCGGAAGTCCGTGCCCTCCACGGTGCCCTGGGGGACAGCGGGGGGCGGCCCGCACAGCACGGCTGCATCCAAGGACAGGGGTGTCGGAGAGGGTCCCTACGCCCGCACCCCTAAAGCCAGCCTGGTGGGGTCTATCACATGGGCCAACCCAGCACCACAGTTTCCAGGGCCAGGGACCCTCCACGGGGTCAGCAACCAAGACCCCCCTCCCCCTCCGCCAGCTGCAGCTGGCAGCCTGGTTCCACCCCAGGTTCTCTCTCCAGCTTCCTCCCTTACTAGCAGCGTTGGTTTCAGGAGACCCTCAGACCTGGGGCCCCCTGCTGACCAAGCTTCCAAAGGCGTGACCTTCAGCAGATTCCAAATGTGCCCACCCAGCTCCCCTGCCCTCTGCATGCCCAGGAGGGTCCGCCATGTGGCCCCTACTTTCTGCCCAGCCCCTCCTTCTCTCCTCTTCCTGCACAGCACACTCGGGCCCATTCCTGGCCCCCGTTTCATGGGAGCCCCCAGTGGGCACTGCTCTCCCCGCCGCCCCCAAGGTGCCATAGCCTCTCCCTTATGTGGATGGGACATGAGGATCAGGCTCCTTCCCTGAACCCCGCCTCTGATTTCCTGCACAGCTGGGCCTGTTCTCTGCCCTGGGCACCGTGCCAGGCACCCGACATCCTCCTTCCTTCTGAGTCCTGCCCCTTCTCTGCCCTCCCCGAGATGCCTCTTCCTGCCCCTGAGTGCTCTGTGCTGTGTTCTGAGCAACCTCACCCCCCAGCCGCACCTTTGCAGCGGGGCTTGCTGTGGTTCCAGGTCCCATCTTTGGTGCAACGGAGGGCGGGGGCGGCAGCGGGCTCCATCAGGAAGCCGGGGTTGCACTGGTAACTCACAGTCTTGTTGAAGGTGAAGTCAGTCCCAAACTGGAGGCCGTTGGCCAGACCGCCCGGGTCCCCACAGCTGATGACTGTGCAGTAGACGCCGGACAGAGAGACACAGAAGGATCACAATCTGAATCCCGCCGGCTGTGCCTCGTGTCTTTCCTGCACTGCTGGTCACTGGGTCTGGCAGGGCCCTTGGACACAACACTGAACGGACGGGTGCTTGGGGGCTGCACTTGCCCTTGGCCGGGAGCACGTTAATGCCAGCCCAGGGTTGGAGGCTGCTAGGTGATCCTGAGCCCTGTGGCACATGCCCTGCTCTCCCCAGACTCCAGCAGGCCTGTGGTAGGCACAGCTAGTACTGATTTACTAATTTGGACCATGCCCTGAGCAAGATCCTAGAGAGAAATCTGCGAGTATCACTCTACGGAGGTGCGGGGCAGATCTCACCTTGTCTCTCCCCTCTGGGGGGCCCACGAGGGAAGCCAGGCTCACCTGTGCAGTCAGGGGCGGTGCCGGTCCAGGTGCCGTTGGCCGTGCAGTGACGTGTGGTCAGCCCTGCAGTGTGGTAGCCCTCCCAGCAGGCGTAGACCACGGAGCTGGAGAAGAGGGTGCCATCGCTACTCACGATCCTGCCGTTGGTGGGTGTGCCTGGGTTCCCGCAGGACACAGCTGCGGGGGACAGGGCAGTCACCGACCCTGCGCCCGCATGGCCTTGTGCAGGGGAGCGGGTGGTAGAGTCACGCGGGGTGGAGTTCCCTGCCGCACACACGCTGCTTCAAGTGGGTACCCTGAGAGCTGGGACGCCAACACCTGGCTTTTGGGTGTCCAGAGCATGATAGGAGGGGATAAAATAGCTGCCGTAATTGTAAGGGGACTCTGGACCTTACCACAAGCCCCTCTACCCGCCTCCCCAAGTATCTGCTGTTTTTAAAACGTTATTTTTCCGTTTCATCTTGGGGCCATGTGTGGCTGTGCCCAGGGCTTCCTCCTGGCTCTGTGCTCAGGGATCACTCCTGGCAGGGGTTGGGAATCATGTATGGTGCTAGAGATCCAACCTGGGCTGGCTGCATGCAAAGCAAACACCTCGTCCTTGTCCTATGGTTCTGGTCTTTTTGTAAATCTGGTCTTCAGGTTGCATTTCAGCCTCTAACCTTGCTGGCTCAGAGGAAGGGCCTGCTCAGGCCTCCAGGGCTGGCTGCACTAGGGGATGCCCCAGAGGGCCTCTGAGCAATGGAAAGGCACGTGCACCTGTGCTGCAAGGTAGCACTGGCATCTGTGCCCTGTGGCCTGTGTGCTGAGCTTTGGGACACAAGGCAGAGAAAAGTTCAGCCACTGTTGGGATGTCAGGGGCACTAGAACAAGGAGTCCCATCTGCTCTGCGGGTCCCACTGATTCTCAGTGCCATTACGTTCCTTCCAGGGCTTCCTTTGCCACCCCCAAATCATAATGTCCAGCAGTAGAACTGGAAAGAAGGACCCGGGAATGGGTTTAATAACAAGAACATCAGGCGACCATTTCTAGCAATGAGCCAAAACTTTTCTATCTGTTTGCTTCTTTGGCCTTAGACCTAGCCTTGAGAATAGGGGCATTTTTTTTTCTTTTTGGGTTACACCAGGCGATGCACAGGGGCTACTCCTGGCTTTGCACTCAGGAATTACCCCTGGCGGTGCTCAGGGGACCATATGGGATGCTGAGAATCAAACTCAGGTCGGCTGTGTGCAAGGCAAATGCCCTACCCACTACACTATTGCTCCAGCCAACAGGGGTACTTCTAATTTTCATTTTAAATATAGAAAGTTGTAGAAGAGATAGAATTGAGGGCAAGGCACTGACCTGGGTTTGAATCCCCAACACTACATATGGTCCCTGAGCAGTACTAGTGGTCACTATTGGGCACAGAGCCAGGACCAGGTCCTGAGCACTCCTGGATGGGCCCAACTTGCCCTCCCCCAAATGATGACTTTAAAATAATCACTGTATGGACAAGCTCTCACCCAGGTAGTTAGGGAATCTTAGGGTGTAGGACATTGGGAGGGCATCACCCTCTGTCCAGCGTTCATCCACAACGCATCAGAGGAGCCTGGCTCAGACCACACCTTCCATGGGAAGAGCCTGGCTCATACCCTGCCCTCCATGGGAGGAGCCTGGCTCAGACTACGCCCTCCGTGGGAGAAACCAGACCCAGAGTCTGACTCAGACCACGCCCCACGGAGGAAGAGCCTGGCTTAGACCACACCCTCCACGGGAGGAGCTTGTCTCAGACCACGCCTTCCATGGGAGGAGCTTGGTTTAGACCACACCCTCTGCAGGAGGAGCCTAGCTAAGACCAAACCCTTCCTACCATACTACTTGCAGCTTCCTGATTGGCATTTGAGAGAAGATAAATTGACCAAGAAGAAACAGATGATATCCAAGGCTGTCTAAACTCACATGTCCTCTGAGGACTGTAATGTGAATTGCAAACATGAAATCAAATAGGCCTTTATATTAATGTTTAATGTTTTGGTATATAAGAAGACCATCAGCAAAGCACAAGAAATTAGACTTCAATTCACTACAAGAGGTAGAAGGCTTTTTAAACTGAAAGTTAAAGAAGTACACCTTATCTTTTTAAATTCCTTTGGCTCATGGGATGCCTTTGGGGAAGATTTTCCCCTTTAACTTGATTTATAGTCAGATGGCATTCTAATGATTGTGAACATGCTTTGTTTTCAAGAGCAGCCCTGTTAGGCAGAGTGCATTTTAGGACTGATATTAAATTGATCCAAGTAATTTTGGACTGGAATTGTTCTTGTCCACTGACCACTGACCACTGACCTCCTGTTGTTCATCGATTTGCTTGAGCAGGCCCAGTAACGTCTCCATTGTGACACTTGTTACTGTGTTTGGCATATCGAATACATCACGGGTTGTTTGCCAGGCTTTGCTGTGCGGGTGAGATACTCTCGGTAGTTTGCCAAGAGGGGCGGAGGAATCGAACTAGTGTCGGCCATGTTGGCTGCATGCAAGGCAAACGCCCTACCGCTGTGCTATGGCTCCAGCCTAAGTCATGTAAACTGAAGGGTTTCAAGTCCTAACCTGAGTATCTCTAACTGCAAAAGGGGTCTATTGTGGGGGACAGCTCCAGCTGCTGGAAGTGTAGCACAATTTGAGCAAAGTGCACAGCAAACAGCACAGCGAGGGGACAGGAAGGAGCCACAGAACAGGGAGGTGCTGCTGTTTCCACAGGCACCACCAGCATGCTGCCATTGCTTGAATAAAATGTCAGACTTAATTACTATTTCATGTGAAAGAAAACTAAGAATTATCAAACTAAAACCAACAAAGTGTTTCTATTCCAGCACCTTTCTAAGGTATATTATATATATTGATTTAAAAGTTATGTTGCTGAGTTTTATTAAAAGACCAAAACAAGAACAATATATGAGTTAACACAATGGAAATATAAATTCGTTGCTAATATTTAAAAAAAGATATTTCTCCCATAATTTATGAACTCCTCCATCTTTCTACAGTTTATTGAAATAGCCCAGTGGAAATCCATATGGTGATTAGATTCAGGGGAGGTGATTTTGGTTATAGGACCAACTAGATGTCATGGCTAACCCTTTCAGAAATTCAAAAACCTGTGCTCTCAGAGTCCTCATTCTTTTAGAAGTCTGAGCATGGCAAAAGTCTGAGCATGTTAAGATGCTGTATGGGATTCTGAGAGATTCTGCCACGTACTCTTTCCTCCTCTCTACCCTCTCCGCTTCTGGGGGCAGCTGCTCCAGTTGCTGCTCTGACCAAGGCTTATGCTTGTGTTGCTCTGAGCTGTGCGGGCTCAGTAACTGCATCACATGATGGATGAGTGTTGGGACTGTGATATCTTTAGCTGATGCAGGGCTTCCCATTGGCTGTGCCTCTCAGAAGCCTGGCACCACGATGCACTGAGAGAGGAGAGTCACCTGGTCATGACCATGATGGGTGTTTGGGTTCACGGTGGTTCCACATGCTCCTCTGTGTTGGTGAGGGAGCACACTCAGAAACGGTCCACCTGGGTCCTTCAACATTCCTGCTAGGTGCTCGGGCTGATCACAGCCACAGTCAACCCTAATGTCCCCAAGGTGCAGTACTGGGGAGGGTTTAGATGGGACATGAGTGAGATCCCAACTCCGAGGTACTTGTACAGAGTAGAACAGAAGTTCTACTCTGGGGAGAGACGTTTTCATATTCAAATCTTTATGACAGGGATTGAACTGAAGATACTGAGTCATGATGTATTTCCACCAGTGAAAATGGGATGGCTGTGCAGACTCAGAATGCTGGCCATTCTCACTGGCTTGGGGAGGTCAACTGATCTAAGCTATGATCTACACCCACTCAATTGTTAGGTGATTTTCTGTCAAGATTTACCTTGAATTCTCTTAATATTTAGATGTCTAGATCTGCCCATCTAAATTATATATATGTATGCATATGCATATATATATGCCTTAGATAACCCCAGAGACAGAGCCAGGATGGGGCCATATGCATGCATATATGCAGCTGGGGAATGATATGTGCATATCATACTATCATACTATCATACACAAGGACACTTGGCTAGCCTCTTTGTATATACTCTCCTATTATGTAGCTTGATGTGAATCATGCACAACTGCAGTTGTACTGTATTATCTTTAGAGACAGATACGTAGATTGTAGATACAAGGAGGGGCGGCAGAATCCAGAAAACAAAGATTCAGGAAGCTTGATACACATTTCTGATAATGGGCATTGTAGTATGACATTGTTCCATCCTTTCTCTCTTGTCACAGGGAGCTTAGGTTTATTGGGTTACACCCATCACAGTGCTTGAAGACACAGCTATTCCTCTGTGTTCATCTTTAACTTCTCATCTGTGCTCTGCTTCCCCTATCTGTTAGTCACCTATGTCTCCAAATCAGATCCCGTGACTTATAAGGTCAGATCCTTCTAAGGACACTGGATTTTGTATGTATAAATGAAATAATGCTTTTCTCGCTCCCTTATGTCCTTTGCATAGTTTACTTTAGAGCAATGTCCTTTTTGTATAGACACAGGAACACAGTTAATGCTATGCTTTTGTAACTTCGAAGTTAATCGACTCCAAATAATATTTCGTTCTGGGCATCTGTCATATTTACTCAACTTTAACCTCAGTTGCCCTTAGTTCCTAGCACCCCAAAAGCAGAGTCGCGATGAAGATATTGGATGGGTCCAAGGCAAGTTTTAAGTTACCCTGGCATCAAAATGGGACAGACCAAGTGCCACAAGACTTATAATAAGTTAAGAGCACAGTCATGGATAAATTCTGTCATGACCCAAAGAGAAGTGACTGGACAAGGACCCTGCTGGGGTTAGGAAGGACTAATCTGGCCTGAGGACTTTAGTCTGGGATATATAGTGAGATGTACTCAGGAGACCCACCCTTTAAGCTTAATATATCTCTTACTGTGTCCATACAAAATGACTAGGAAGATTACTAAGAAGTAGAAGTAAGAGGACTATTTAAATGGATATGAACTAAGGAAAGGAGAAATATGCCCCTAGATGAAATTCTGTCCTTGGGCTGATCTCCTAGCAGGATGAGATCTTTGTCTTAGAAGAAGCTTCCCGAGAAGGAAGGGCTTTGCTTATGTTGACTGTGCTACCTCACCAGTGCGTATTTGCTACCCTGACTTCCCATTGTTTGGGGGCTGAGCCTTACCCTCACATGCAGGCTGCAGCCCCGACCAGGAGCCATTGTGCAAGCACGTCCGCTCCGCGGAGCCCCGCAGCTGGTAGCCCACCTCACAGGAGAAGCGCAGGAGGCTCTTGACCTTGAACTCATCTCCAAGCCGAGAGCCATGTGCCGGGGTTCCGGGGTCCCCGCAGAACCCAGGGTTGTTTCCTGGTGGATAGAAATACAGATGACCCCATGTGGCCAGATGTTTAAGACACAGCTGTTGTGTTCAAGGACAAAGGAAAGAAATTAAATCTGTATTGAACACAGGCTATAGTGCTGTAGCATTCCAGCAACCTGAGATAAAGATTTTCTCTAATTGCACAAACATGGAAGATGCTGAGAAATTGTTCTTGTGTAATGGGAAGGAGGACAGTCTATTGAAGCAAGGCTCTGATAGGGACTGATGTGATTTGGAAAGAGACAGTGCTGGGCATGGTGTAGGCAGGATTGCTCCCTGGAAGGCAGGTATAGAGAGTCAAGGAGAACGAGGTTAAGGCATTGTGAAAATTCAGAAAAAAATACACAAAAATTTTAAGAGACTTCACTTTCTTAAATATTACAGAGCTTCTGATTCATTGTGTTTTATCTAAGAAATATTTGCTTTGATATCACATTTGTTCCTACAAGAAAAGTATCATAAGACAATTTTTCAAAGAAGACCAATATATTTATTGATTCTAGAGTCAGAAAAGAAAAACATGGAAAAATTGAGAAGGAAGCACAGAAATGGAATCCAAAGCAAATGAACAAACACAATTCAAGTCCTGTCCCTGCTGGGGAAACATGGAGCACTGGGACTGCCATCAAAGGCTAGAAATGACCAGGGCAGGATGGCGGGGGCCATAGGGGCACAGAAGTGAGGCTGGTGGTAAGGACAGGGATGATGGGAGCATGGTGATGCCACGATGATTCGTATAGTAGTGACTATGGCTATGGTGATCTGAAGATGGCACTGGTGATGTTCTGGTGATTCTATTGTGATGATGGCTAAGGGGATGGTGATAACAGTGATGATGGTGATGACGTGGTGGTCATGTTGGTGATGGTCCTGATGCTGATGGTGATGCTAGTTGGTGATGGTGATAGTGATTAGATCGTGATGGTGGTGGTTATGGTGGTGATGATGGTGGTGATGATGATGGTGGTGATGGTGGTGTGGTGGTGGTGGTGGTGGTGATGGTAGTGGTTATTGGATGGTGATAGTCCTGATGATAGTGGTGGTGATGGTAATGGTGATGGTGGTGGTAATGGTGATGGTGGTGGTGATGGTGGTGATGATAGAGATAGTGATGGTGGTGATTACACTGTGATGATAATATGAAAGTGTGGTGCTGACCATTTGAGGCCTCTGTTGTGGCAACTGTGTGGATAGGATACTGTGGTATTGGTGGTGTTGGTGGTGAAGACGATGGCACATTAAACTATGGCGTTTAATGATACTAATGGGACCGCTGGGATGACAGTGCCATGATGATAATGATGGTACAATTAGTACAATGAGGATATTAATGGTGCAGCGCTAGTGTAATGAGGAGGAGGAGGAGGAAATATAATATTGGCACTGTGAGCTGAACAGGAAATAACCCTTTCAAACCTCTTTAAGACCCCGATGGGCACTCACCGGCACAGTGGGGCAGAGCCCCGCTCCAGTGGCTGTTCTCCTGGCAGACTCTGGTGCCGTTGCCTACCAGGCTCTGGCTCCCTTTGCATGAGTAGTGGACCACAGCCTCGTAAGTGAACACTTCCCCAGTCAGGATGGCATCAGCAGGAACCCCGGGGTGCCCACACGTTATCCCTCAAGGAGAGAACGAAAAGCAGAAGAACATTCTTACCACACCGCTTGTTGCAGGCAAAACTCCCACAAAAGCCCGGACTCATTTGCTCCTGGAACTGGTCCGCCCTTTACTCCATGTTCCTGTGCTTTTCCTTACATCGTGCCTCATTACACCCATCATCTGCTCTCAAACCGTCCCTCCAAAGGCAAATTCTGGAATCCAGATTAATGTAGGGGAGGGACAACGCTCTCCTGCCCATTCTGTCACATCCTAGGGTTAACCCACATACATTCTAACCACATGAAAACAGGTCACTGGCCTCAGAGATTATTTCCAGTCCCTGTTGCTGTATCCGGGGACAGGGCTCCCACAGTCTTGGAAGCAGCCCTTCCTGGAGGTCAAAGCTGAGACAAGAGTCTTTGCTGTCCCCGAGCTGCCACAGGAAGCCCAAGGTGCCAGTGCACAGAGGTGGCACCTAAGAGACCCAGAGCCCCCCCCCCCCCCCAGCACCCCCAGCCCCTGTGCTGAGTCCTCTCATTAATAATACCAGGAGCGGGAAGTGACACCTGGGGCCAGCAAGGATGGGGTACTGTAGTGCCCTGAGAGTCAGACCCTGTCATTATAGAGGTGGGTGGGCAGAATGCAGAGCCCCTAAAACCCACACACAACCACACAGGTGCTCGTGGCACTCAGCTGTGGTTGAATTCTGGGCTGGGCTGCCACAGTGACTCATACAAACACAAGAGTTCTCAGTCCTTGGTGTGCCCAGTATAGAATTATATACTGATGAAAAGACAAAATGAGACAATATGAAATACTCAACCACGGTTTTCTGGCACTGCCACTGAGATTTCCTGGGAAGAGGCCGAGGGAATGGCAGAAAAAAGGTGCGGCCTGCGGTAAGACAGTGACAGTTTATCGGGGTGGTTGGCAATAAAGGCAGAGTGTTGGAAGAGAGGAAAGAAGACAACTGTGCTGTGTGGCTGCAGGAAGCGTGGGACCCCACTTACTCAGACACTTGGGACGAGAGCGGTCCCACAGGCCGTTGGCCATGCAGGTGAGCACTGAGGAGCCCAGCAGGTAAAAGCCCTTCTTGCAGTGGTACATGACGCTCATGCCATACTCAAAGCTCTCGGGGACACTCTGCTGGCCATGGCGAACGGCGTTCTCCACGAAGCCTGGGTCTGAGCAGTTCACAACTGGGGGAAGGGAGGGGGAGAGAGCGAGGGAGAGAAAGAGAGAGAGGGAGAGAGGGAGAGAAAGACAGAGAGAGAGGGAGAGGAACAGAGAGGGGAGAAAGAGAGAAGAGAAGAGAGAGAGAAGAGAGAGAAAGAGAGAGAGAGAGGGAGAGGGAGAGAGAGAGAGAGAGAGAGAGAGAGAGAGAGAGAGAGAGAGAGAGAGAGAGAGAGAGAGAGAGAAAGCAGCTGTAGTGAGGCTTGCAGAAACCCCGTGGTTGGGCCAGCTTCTCACATCTCGGGAATCCACGTGGGGGTGACTCTTTGGAAAAGCTACAGAGTGTCATAGGAAGTGGAAGGTGGAGCTGACACATGGAATGTCCTGTCCACCTTGTGCCACTGTGGGGTCCTCGGGTGTAGAGCCACCAACTATGACAGGCGGCACCGGAGAGCAGACGCCTTTACATCATCAACGAAGCCAGAAACAAACACCAACTGTCCCCACAGGAGCTTTGAGGGACGACGCCGGGAAGGAGCATGCAGGGAGAGACTCAGGCTGGGCCCACCCACCCATGTGTGAAGGACTAGGAGAAAGAAGGCTGGGGGTCCAAGCAATGAATTGCAGAGGACTCACACACCAGTGCTCTGTCACTGATGACACACTCAGTGAAGATAAGTCCTAGCCAGGCTCATGGCTGGCCGCCCTGCTCCCAGGAACCTGCTCACCTCTGGGGGCCATTGGGCTTTGAAATTCACCCACTGCCCAGAGGCCTCAGATGACGCCCAGAGAAGGTGAGCCCGTCGGGTCTTTCCTGATACTGATGGATCCCAGGCAGAGTCGAATCTAAAACCCATCTTCTTGGCTAAGCTGGTGGATCCCAAAGGTGTTCTAGCTGCACTGACCAACGGGAACTCGGTGGAGACATCTGAACTTGCAAAATGATCGTGCCGGGCATGCAGAGGTTCCAGGACAAACGTTCCTGCCCAGGCACAGGGGGCGGCTCAGCAGCACCATGTCTGATGTGGATAAAGGGGACATTCTTCATAGAACGTAGCTGGAGGCTGCCCGGGATGGGTGCGTGGGCCTAGGCTGGACACATCAGCTGCGTCTGAATGCAGCACTGGGAGGAAGGGTCGCGATTGAGCAGGTGCGGGAGTGAGCGGGCCGTGTTCTTGGCAGTCACCCACCAGCCCTGAATGCCACAGCTGCGGCCTCTCCGGCTATTTCTGGCTCACAAAGGGGCACGTCAGGCTCTCGTGGCCCCTGCACGCCGGCCTGGCCCATCTGGGCCATTCATTCTTCTCTGTGCCGGGAGGAAGTGTGGGGCCGAGTGGGGAGCCACAAAGGCCCCTTGAGTGCTGGAAGGCTCGGCTGTTGCCGTTTCAATGAGCCTCGGATTTGCCCAAAGTGGGCAAGTCTGATATGGGGGGCAGGTTCCACCAAACGCATGTGAATTCACAGAAGCAGAAGGGTTCGGGCTGCATGGGGCGGAGAAGCTCGTTCTCCGACACTGTCTCCTGCTCGGTCACTTGTGCAATCTGAGAGGCCCTGATCCAGGCCCTCGGGACACTCGGGCAGCTCCCAGAGGGCAGGCCTGAGTCCTCAAGCAGGGAGCCATCCTTGACAACGTGCAGACGAGACTACCAACTCTTTCTGTCCCCAGCGGGAGAAAGGCTGAATCTCTCTGCAGAGCCCGTCCCAGTGCCCGAGGTGTCCGGTCAGATGTTCCCCGGATTCCATGTGCCCAGACAGCTCCCGGTCATCTGTCTTTGTGGGCTGGGAAGGGGGACACACACCAGGACCGGTGCCCGGGCTGGGGAAGGGCAATAGAGGGAAAGATGCCTCTGGGGCAGGAGCAGAGAGCCACACCCGCAGGCCGGGATGGAGTGACCCTGTCCTCTTGCTGTCCTTCTCAAGAAGCCTGGCAGTGGCAGTCCTGTGGGACTCGGAGCCTGCTTCCTCCCTGCAGACTCAGGGTGCAGGGTTCTCTCTGACCTCGGCCGAAACTACTTGCCTCCATGGGCCTCACGTGGCCCCTGCCTGGGCCCTTCGTGCCCGTGGTGAGTTAAGCCCCTTCCTAGCATTCAATTGAACTCACCCCGGTTTCTGGTGAAATTCTGCTCCTGGGCACGTTGCTGAGATTAATGAGAATGCAGAGGCTCACCAATGACTGCATCAGCATCAGGATGTGGCTCAGAGAAGGTGGGAATTCTTCCCAGAGATCCCCAGGTCCACAGCAAAGCTGGGGGCCACAATAACATGGGCCCCACCCCCTCCTGGAAAGCTACAGCCCCCCTCCCTCCTGAGATCCAGGTGGGTTTCTAGATGAACAAGCCTTTATTCCCTGCAGAAAATCTTTCCCTACTAAGCTTTAAGATCACAATCAGAGATGTCCACCGGCTCCCCCAACCCCCTCCCCCAGACTATCATTGTGTCTGTAAAGTCAGGTACGCTATTGAGCAGATGGCCTGTGCAGGGCTGGAGACAGAGTCCGGCAGGGAAGGGATCTGCCTGCTTTGACCCCAGACGCCCCAAAGGGTCTCACGAGCCTCCCCACCCACAGGAATGAGCCCTGAGCACAGAGCCAGGAGTCAGCCCTGAGCACAGAGCCAGGAGTCAGCCCTGAGCACAGAGCCAGGAGTCAGCCCTGAGCACAGAGCCAAGAGTCAGCCCTGAGCACAGAGCCAGGAGTGACCCTGAGCACCGTCCGAGTTTGGGTTAAAAACTAAAACCCAGCAGTCCCATCAGCAGACACGGACTCTCAGCAGGCACATGCCCTACAGGTCGGCCATCCACGGGCCCCTGGGCAGCCCCAAGCAGGAAGGTTGCACACCCAGGGTGGACAACTACAGAATCCAGGTCTGTGAGGTAGCTGGGCCTAGTTCCTGGTTCCTCGTGGCGAGGTGACAGAGTATAGGGACGGTGGTGGACTGGGGTCTCCGAGGGGACTGAGCAGGGGCTGTGTTGCCTGGGGCAGTGAGGATGCCGAGGCAATGCCCACAGCCCTGTCCTCTGCCTTGTTCTACAGGGGGCCAGGGTGTACAGCGTGCATGCGGTCTCTGTGTTATCCTAAACAATTACAGTGAAACCCACAGTGGCCTCAAAGTAAAATGCGGAATTATAAAACGGTTGACTCATTCAACCAGAAATGAGGAAACAGTGGAATCAAGTATGTGGGAAATACACAGAAGGCAGTATACCCTGCGTTGACTGAATTAAAATAACCTTTTCATTCAGGCTCCATGACCACGTGCACTCAGCTGGGGTTTGAAACCCCGGAGCCCAACCAGAGGCCACGTCCTTCCCTGGCCCCCACCCAGAGTTGCAAGCAGGGGTGGAGGAAGGAAGCCTGTTTGCCAGTCGCTAATCAAAACTCGTCATTCGTGCGGCCCGAATGCCAGGACGGGTCCAGCTGCCCGGCTTGTTCTGGGGGATGGCAGCATGCATCTGAGAGCAGCTGTGCCAGCTGTGCTTCTTTCCATGCCATCCCCCATGTCACAGCCCATGTAGGGCGAGTCATTTCCATCCGAGCATTGCGTGTCTTTAGCTTTTAGAGTAAATGCCCAGAGAGGGACAATGGAGGAGGAGGAGGAGGAAAGGTGTAAGTTTGGCTGGAGAAAGGCTCGGGTGTCTTCCCGGTTTGCATGATGCGTGTTTAAACCAGGGGGGCTACTGTCTGCCAGGGAGGACTTGCTGTCCATGTCTGCGGCTTCCCTGCATCGTCATCCAAGACGGGCCCTCCCTGCGCCTGGCCTTTCTGCCCCATGCTGGATGGGAACATGGCTGGGCTCACAGGCGCTCTCTCAGCTCCTGGTGTCTGTGCCCTGGAAGCAGGTGGAGCTCTCCCTGGGGTTCGAGTGGAAGGCAGACACCACGACACAGACCCGCTTCAGGCCCACATACCTGCCCAAGCACCAGCGTGACCATCAGATATTGTTGTTTCCTTTCAATATAGCTCTCTTGGGAACACCGGGGATGGAGGGGTGGATTACCAGCACAAAGAATTCCAGAAGAATCTGACTCTGGTACCACATTACTTTCACAGAAGCAAAACCAGAGGTGTTTGCTCTCCATCTCAAGTCTGACCTAGCACCTGCCATAACACAGCTATTCCAACAGAAAGTAATTGAAGTGGAAACTCTGATAGTCAGAGCTAAAACACTGAGAAGTACAAAAAATACAAAAGAGCATTTTATGAAAAAAAAAACAACAACTCTTGTTTTAACACAGATACTTGTGAGAATTTTAAACAATTAAATTAAAAGCTGAGGCCAAGCCATATAGGGATCCCGCAATGCCACTCCCGGGTCTCTGCGTACAGGGAACCTACATTGGCTGAGGTATTCGCGCCCTCGTGCTCACAGCAACCTGGTTACCAGCAGCTCGAACCCAGAATTAAGGGCTCTGTCCCCAGACCCTGGGAGTCCTCCTGTGCATTAGATAAGACAAAGAGAACAGACTTGGAGTGTCACTGCACAGGGACCTAAGTCCGGAGAGAAAGCAGGAGCTCACCCCTACCACCGAGGATCTCCACAGACTCTGGCGGTGAGGAGGTGGGGAAGCGGGGAATTGGCAGAAAGAGGGGAGGGGACGGTGATCAAAGGTGGACAAGGCTCAGCTGGGGGGACGGAGGGGACCTTATATCACAGTGAAAGCTGTATCCCCCAAACCTTCCATTGCTTTACACCAATGGGGAAATACGTATAAGTATAAAAAAAGATGAAATAACTCCCAGAAGTATAGCAGGGAAATGAACCATAATATGAATGAAAAATGAAAAAATGACACTTGGATAAATGCATAAATTAGTGAGTGAACGAATGAACAAATGCCGAAAGAACAAATAAAGGGAAGATGAGTCAGTGCCACACCTGTGGCCGTACGCAGGCCCGCATACACCATCGTCCCACCCCACCCCATTCTGGAAGTTTCTCTTACCTCGGCAGGTGGGCAGAGCGCTGCTCCACTGCCCACTGCTGCGACACTGTGCCCTGGCCGCGCCCTGCAGCAGGTAGCCGGCGGTGCAGGTGAAGTTCACCACATCGTTCAGGTTGAACTCGGAGCCATTGGTGAGGCCACGGGCGGGGTTCCCAGGGTGGCCGCAGGTGATGGCTGGGGGAGACAGGGCGTGTCAGGCAACCAGGTGAGGCCGTGCTCCTGCTTTAGCTCCACAGACGCCAGACTGGCATGGGGCAGAGAATGGGAGACACAGGGCAGGGCCCAGGTCCCTGCTGTAGGCAGCAGCCAGGGCCCACACGAGCACTTTCCTCCTGCTCAGAGCTCGGTGGGGCCCCAGGCTGTTGGTGCAGGAAGCTGCATTCCAGAGAGGCTGAACCCCCAGTCTCAGTCAGGGGGATACTCTCCTTGTGGCACACCAACCACATCTCCGTTGCAGAAGGCAGAAGGATCCAGGCTGCAGTGTGCATGTGTGTGTGTGTGCATTTGCATGTGCATGTATGTGTACATGTGTGCATTTACATGCATGTTGTGCTTATGTGTTTGTGAGTGTGTGCATGTATGTGCATGTGGGTATGTGTGTGCAGTGTGCACCTGTGTGTGCATGCATGCATGTGTGTGTTTATGTGTATGTATGTGCATGTGTGTGCATGTGTGTGTGTGCGTGTGCATGTGTGGTTGTGTGCGTGTGTGTGTATGTGCATGCGCATGTGCATGTGTGTGTGTGTGTGTGTGTATCATCCCAACAGCAATTCAAGCATCATGAAATCAGCCAAACCATGTACACACACAGACTGATCCAGAAGGCTGTCAGACATCCTCCCCAGAGATGCAGGGAACTGTCCTCCAGTCCTGCCCAGAATCAGGACATTGGAGACAGTCTTCTTGGCCATCCCAAGGACATGGCAGTCAGCAGAGCCAACACCCGTCTCCTCTGCCCGTCAGCTGCTGCTGCTCTCAGGCAAGCTTGGGCCTGAGCTCCTTCCCCAGCTGAACACTGTTCTGACCCCTCCCCCGCTGGGAGATTCTCAGGGAAACAAAAGCTCCCATCAGGGTGAGGAGGGCCAGCAGCTGAAATCTCCCTCTGCCGTGAGACAAGGCTTCATAGATCCTGCATTCTTGGTGAAAGCAGACAGACACAGCCACAGTGACAGGGGCCTGGACACTGGGACCCCCTCCCCGTCTCTGGGCCTCCCTGAGGCCAGGTCCCCCCGCCTCTCCGGTGAAGGGGTTGGGCAGTGCTCTGTGAGAGGTGGGCAGCTGGGGCGAAGCTTGAAGGAGGGTGAGTATGGAGGCCTTAGGGGGCAGGATGTGTGGGATGAAGAAGGGGCTGCAGGTGAACCCAAGTTCTTTGTGTTTCCTCTGGAGATGGCCAAGCCTTGGTGATGACTTCCAATAGAAAAGACACGAGGAAGACGATGGCCCAGCACCAGCAATGATGGGCCCAGGGTCACAAAGCCAGCACCCAGAGAGGGCTCAGGGATAGGAACACACACAGGCCACAGAATAAGCAGACACACAGTATCCATGGACACACATGGGCCACGGAATGAGCAGACACACAGTACCCATGGTCACACACGAGCCATGGAGCCATATGGTACTCACAGACACATACATAGGCCATGGAACCAGCAGTCATACAGTACTCCTGATATACATAAGACTGTGGAACAAGCAGATATACGATACTCATGAACACAAACACAGGCCACTGAACAAGAAGACATATGGCACTCACAGACACACACATAGGCCATGAGACAAACAGATATATGGTATTCACAGACACACACAGGGCACAGAACAAGCAAAAATGCAGTACTTATGGACAGAGCTGGCTGAAGGGGCCAGCACTCAGACAGACTCAGGGACAGGGTCATACAGGCAATGGAGCAGCAGACAGACGGTCATGGAACCCGGCCACAGAAGCAGAAAGCAGAAGGCACGGAACCAGCACATAATGAGCGCTTAGGGTCACCCAGGCCACAGAACCAGCACCCAGAGGTACTCACGGACACACACGGGTGTCTGTCCAGACCACTTGTGGTCTTGCAAACAGATCCTGACGGAGGTGCCCACCAGGCGGAAGCCGGGGTTGCACTGGTATACCACCGTGTCCCGGTAGCTGAAGCCATCCCCGCTTATGTGGCCGTTCACAATGGGGTCAGGAGAGCCGCAGTGGCCGGCTGCAGGACAAAGCCATGGGAACACATGGTTAGTAGTCCCACACTCAGCTGCCCACTAAATAGCCCGCTGCTGAATGACAGATAGCATGTGTGGGCCCTGGTGCTCCTGTGTACATGCTGCCCTGGAGTAGTCAAGGAAGGTGAGAGGGGGTTAGAAGGACGAAGATGACATGCCCCAGGGCAAGCAGGCTATGGCTGCAGTGTGCCCACCTCAAGTGTGGCCCAGGTTGCCTGTTGGATGAAGCTGTTGGTTTTCTCGTTTGCTTCTGTTTATGGTCCAACAGGAACCAGGCACAGAGGAACCGTGGCAACTGTATGTTGGTGTGTCTGCTCCATGGCACCCACACTGGGCGGGCTGCACCGGGTGGGCAGGTCTCTGGGAGACAAGAGAATCCTGGAGGACAACGGGGCCCGTACTCTTGGGTTGCCGGAACCATGTCCAACAGCTGAGACTCAAGCGAACAGGTGCTCTCACAGATGGAACTTAACATCTCCACAGGACTCACCTAGGCCCACACGGACCACACCAGTGCACACACACCTAGGCTATACCTGTGCTCACACACCGGGGCTATACCTGTGCTCACATGCCTGGGCTGTCCTGTGTGCACACACCAGAGCAATACCTGTGTCCACACACCTGGGCTGCACCTGTGTTCACACACCTGGATTGTACCTGTGATCACACACCTGGGCTGTACATGTGTTCACACACCTGGGTTATACCTGTGCTCACACACCTCGGTTGTCCTGTGCTCACACACCTGGGCTATACCTGCGCTCACACACCTTGGCTGTCCTGTGTGCACACACCTGGGCTATATCTGTGTCACACACCTGGGCTGTACCTGTGTTCACACACCTTGACTGTACCTGTGCTCACACAGCTAGGCTGCACCTGTGTTCACACAAACCTGGGCCATACCTGTGTCACTCACCTGGGCTGTACCTCTGCTCACACACCTGGACTGGGCCACTCACATAGGCTAAAGCTTTATGTATGAACTTGGCTGCCATTGAGGGGAACCCCTCTTCTAGGTGTGGCTGTAGCACACATACAACTTGCACACACTCTCTCACACACACGGACATATAATCATAAAATCAACACACATATCCATATTCTCCCACATAAGCACAATCATATCTCAATTTTTACATATGTACAAACATGGCCACACATGAACACACAATCATAATCTCAACATTCATACACATATTCTTACAAACACAAAATTCTATACTTAACATGCACACATACATACATGTAGAGTGCTCACACACTAATTCTTATAGAGCTTCACACCCTCACATGCATACACACACATACATATGCAAATGCTCAAGCACATACCACATCCCACACAAGCACTCACGCTGTCTCTGAGTTTTGTTGCACAGACTTGGATGATCTTCCTCACTGCTTAGATCATTCATTTCTGAGAGAGAAGCCACATCCTCTCTGCCTGCACACGCTGGGCACAGAACGGCTTCTGTTCGCGGAGCTCTCCCTCCCGATGACCCTCCTGCTCACACTGCGAGGGGTAGGGACCTGCCCTGCTCCAAAGCCTTCTGTTCTCTGCAGCAGTCACATTATCACCACCAGCTGCTTGATTAAAACTTTTACGTGGCACTACCACAAAGTACAAGGCATTTGAGGAATATGATTTAATTCTCTGAAAAGCAATGAGGAACATGGTTGAAGTATATTCTCTTAGATGGTGCCATCTGGCGAATGCCAGCATGATGCTCTCTGTTTTATAGAGATGCCACTTGCTCATGGCTTCAGTCAAACAAGCGCATCCCTGCAGACTCACTTCCAGCCCCAGCAAGACGATGAGAGAGCAGCTCTTCCTCTGACGCTCTCTCTCCTGCCCCTGAAAGCACAGCTGTGTGCTGGGGAGTCAGAGGGCTCCAGAGGGCATGCGAAGCCCCATGTGGTTCCAAGACAGGAGGTCCAGACCTCTGATGAGCAGTGCTCTCTTGGACGCTTTGCTGGACCCCATAGGGAGAAAGAGCAGCCAATGACCCTGGGGGTGAGGAGAAGGCTCCTGCAGTCTGGATGTGGGGGTTCCTGTTCTACGAGCTGAGTTTACCAACCTGGGGGGATTTGCATCATGGAAGGTGGCCCTCGACAGATCATGGAGAGCTGGACAGCCACACACAGCCGGGGTGACCCCTGTCATTCAGTGTGGGCTACCTTCACAAGCAGCTTTCCCCTCTGACCTTGAGACTGGACCAACCTCTGCTTGCAGGGGGCCTGGCATTCTTCACTCCTATCTCGGTTGCAAATTCTGCAGGCAACGACTCCAACACTTATGCGTGCGACTGTCCAGTTACACAAAGGAACATCCCCAGCTTTGGGACAGTGACCCTTCGGTGAGCTGAGCCCAGAGCTCCGCTTGCCGCCATCACTCACCAGGAGGCATCCAACACCAAAAGAGTTCCTGTTTGTTTTTTCTCTTTAGATCTTGAGTAAAATTTCATGTCAATCCCTACAGTTGTCTGATACGTCACTCCCCGTGAAAGCTCATCCATTCTGGTTTTCCTCCTTGCATGCAGCACGGTGTTCCCCCAAGAGAGGAAAAGGGCTTTGGAAAGGGCTGGAGGGAGGAGGAGGACCAGAAGCTTCTATCCCCAGGCATCTGCCAGCATACAGGGCTCTTCCCCAATACCTGTGTTGCCTCCCTTTTACAAGGTGACTCCAGAGGGACCCTGGGAAAGCTCACGCATATGCCACTCCGTGCAGGGACACAAGGGGGATGTCAAAGGAACAAGCTGATAGAGACTTGTGTGACGCCGTCTAAACTCTTCTGACGCTCGCTATCAGGCTCCCATCTGCACAGTGCTGGTGTGATTATCTGCTCCGCAAAGCACCAAATCTGCCAGTCCACAAAGTCCGACAACCAGCAAACGCCTCTCCTCTTCCTTCGATGATCTGATTCTGAACACTCTGTGATGTGTGCAGACTCCTCACCCACGCCGTCCATTCCCTCAGAGCAAGTCCCCCAGAGGGACACTCAGCTCCACTGAAAACTCTAAATCTTCATAGATTTAGAACCCTTGCTGGGGTTCTGGATCCTCATGCCCAAGCGTGCTGCAACCCTAGAGTGGCAGTAATGATTCTTCTTGGCAGAAGAGGCTGCTGAGAGGACCTGCTCTATTTCTGCCCTTCACTCCCTGAAAGCATCTCCATGGAGCACACAGGGGCTCGTCCTGCCTGCTGGATCCTTAAACTGAAGTGTGCCCTGAGCACAGGGCCAGAAGGAAGTCCCGAGCACCACTGGGTGTGGCCTCACACTGAAAAATACACAAACAAACCAAACCAAAGCCATCGCCCAAAAGTGCCCAAGACACAGCCAGTCATTAGCAGCTGGCACCAGCAGACGGCTGCAGCAGACAACACCAGCCCACGGCTGTAGGAGATGTCATCATCTGGTCCACCCAGGCACGATCTACACTCTGGAAGTTTCTCCTTTGCCAGGGTTAGGATGTGCTGTCGCCTGGGTCTCCTGTCTGTGAGCCCACCCGTGCATCCTCACGGCCACACACAGCTCCAGGTCCTGGTGCCTGCCCCCTGTCACAAACTGCCACTGAACCACCAGCAACTCTGAAGATTCCACGTGGCACTGGCCAACTTTGCTCAGTACCTTCCCTGTTGCTCACCAGCTGGTATCGAGGCACGGAGAGCCGGTTGATTGCAGAACTCTTTGACTGTGTTTCCTGGAAGGGTTCTTTGCTCCTCCTCGTCTCCAAGGCTAGACTCACTCTCAGACACCAAATGCTGGCCTGGCCTCTCAGGCCCCCTGCCCCACCCAGACGGGGCCATGCCTAGAGAGCTCCTCCTCCCTCCCCGACATTGAGTCCCCATTAGAGTCAGCTCCCGTGTGTCCCCCTGGGGTCTGTCCCCAGCATCTGACCAGGGCTTTGGAGAGGACACATCCCCTCAGGCCTGGCTGTGTCTGGGTTCAGCCTGAAGCCCTTGGGAGGTGAGGGTGGGTCAGTAGTGGGGGTAACGGGGTGAGGGGGACCCAGCTCCCCCACGTGGGCCGGCACTCACCCAGGCAGCGAGTCTCAGAGCCACCCCACAGCCCGTTGGCCAGGCACTGGCGCACGTGGGAGCCCACCAGCGTGTAGCCCGTGTTGCAGGTGAAGATGGCCGTGGCCCCAAACACTGTTAGCGTCCCGATCTTGTTGCCATTGGGTGGGGAGGAGAGGCGGCCGCACGAGATGACTGCAAGGAGAGAGAAGGTCAGAGTCCTGACCGGCTGGGGGAGCCCACTCAGGACCCAGGAGGGCTGTGAGTGGCATTGGTGGGGACACCACAGCCGGCCACTCACCCCTCTCAGCTGTCCTGGACACTGTGCTTCACCCACCTGCTCTTCCCTCCTCAGCCCTCCCTGGACACCCGAACTCCAGGGCCTTCTAGCACCCTCACCCACCTGCCCTCCCGCCTCTGACCTCGGGTCTGGGGGAAATGCATCCAGAGGCTGACGCACACTCTCACACCCACACTCTCACACTCACATCCTCACATATTCACATGTTCTCACACAAACTCACATAGTCATATGCTCTCACATGTGCTCACTCACATACTCTCACACTCACACACTCACATAATCACATAGTCAGATATTCTCACACATACTCACATAGTCACTTACTCTCTCTCACACACACACTCACATAGTCACGTAGTCACATGCTCTCACAGGTGCTCACTCACATGCTCTTATACTTTCACACTCACATACATATTCTCACACACGCTCACTCACATAGTCACACAAGCTCTCACACTCACACTCTCACACTCACTCACATAGTCACATGCTCTCACACATGCTCACTCACACACTCACACATGTATTCTCACACACGCTCACTCACATAGTCACTTGCTCTCACACATTCTCACTCACACACTCACACATGTATTCTCACACGCGCTCACTCACTCTCACACTGTCATACTCACGTGTTCTCTCATACAACTCACATAATCAGACTCTCACACACATACTCTTGCACTCATACTCACACTCACCGACACACTCACATAGTCTTACCCCACACTGACTCAGAGTCACATTCTCACACAGTCACTCACACACTTTCATTCACCCTCACACTCACACACTCACACTTACAGCCATATACTCCTGCTCACACACTCATTCACTCACACTCACATATTCCCGCACACACTCACATAGTTACACTAACACTCAAATACTCTCATACTCACACACTCACTCTCAACTCACACACACACATACACAGATGCACACTCACACACTTTCACACTCTCATACATATGCACACATCGCATGCACATATCACACACACACACACACACACACAAGAGCAGGCTGACCAGGTGGATAGACTAGGAGGGTCTCCCCAGCTTTGCCCCCTGCCCAGGGTGCCTGTAGGGCCCCTGACAGGGACATCTGCCTCACACAGGCCCCGGCCTGCCCTGGCCAGCTACTGAGTACAGGACCAGTCTGAACATGACTTCAGGCTCTGGGTGATGGAGCCCCAGAGAGAGCCTGCAGGGACCCACCCCAAGATGGCACAGCTGACTCTAAGACCCTGAAGACACTGAGGTGAAGGGCACTGGCTGTGTGAGCCTGTGGGAGGTGGAAGGCCACCACTTCTGACCCTTCTCCTGCCACTCTGGGGCCTCCCACGAGCTTCCCGGGGAAGGACAGACAGGGAGGGCAGGAGGTCTTGAGGTGTCCAGCACAGACCAGCCTGGTGAGTTTCGTGGTCAGTAGGGGCCATGCAGGGCTCCAGGGAAGAACCAGGCACTCAGGACAGTTGCCCAACACAAGGGCAGGCTCAGCAGACCCAGAGCCAGAGTCAGAGCCAGAGCCAGAGCTGCCACCACAGGCCCAATTTACCTTGGTCCTGCCCATGTCCTTGGTGTGGGCTCTCTGCAGCGCTGTGTGGGGGCCATGGGCAGCAGAGGCCCTCTGATTCAAGGGTGGCTGGATGTACCTGACTGGTCTACACCTATCCCTACTCCCCGGGAGAACAACCATCAACACCGTCCCATTCCCCACGAAAACAGCCATCACCACAGTCCCATTTCCAAGGAGAACAGCCACCTACAACCATCCCATAACCACTAAAACAGCCATCTACACTGTCCCATTCCCCAGGAGAGGAGCCATCTATACCATCCCATAACCAGGAGAACAGCAATCTATACCCATTCCATTCCCCAGAAGAAGAGCCATCTACACCATCCCTTTCCCCATGAGAGATGCAACTTCCTTTTTGTGTCTGAGGCGTGCCCAGGCCAGCCTGCAGGCATGCTGGGATCCCAGCTTATGTTTCTGTTCTTCTGTTTCAGACCCTGCCATCTTTGCTGCTTCTCTGGTCCCCGAGAATAATCATTCCACTAGCTTTCATGACAGCTGTGGCTGGTGGGCCGACAGATAGCAGGGTCAGGACCCCCCAGGTGCCACACCCCCAGGGTCCACTGGAGACCTCAGCCAGCCTGGGTCTATGTAGGCACTGCCTGGAGCTGGCCACATCCTGGAGCTGAGGTTGGAGGAGAGCGGCAGGTGTCCATCCATCTCAGGGCAGCAGGGGGGTGGCGGGCTCACCTCGACAGCGTGGCCGCTCCTCTCCCACACTCCACGTGCCGTTGGCCTGGCACTGCAGCAGCCGGCGGCCCTCCAGGCTGTAGCCGGGGCTGCAGCTCAGCACCACCTGTGCACCGTACTCGTTCAGGGCGCCCGACAGCAGCCGCCAGGTGACATGCTCCGAGAGCTGGGCCTCGATCCCTGGGCAGGTGACCGCTGCAAGAGACAGAGCCTGTGTCAGCTGCCTCCAGGAGGCCCATCTGGCTTGCCAGGGGAGTGCCAGGCACAGGCTCTACCCTGGCCTCCGGGCTGGCTGCTGGGCGCAGCTCCCCAGAGTGAAACTTCCTCAGGGCCAGTCAGATCCCAGAGGTTGCCCCTCTGCCCTGAGAGTCACTGGAGCCAGGCGTGGGGACTTGCTTCTGGTTTAGCTGGTTTTAATCAGCTGAACGGTATCTTATGTTTACCGCGTGCGTATGCATGTGTGTGTGTGTGTGTGTGTGTGTGTGTGTGTGAGATAGGGTGGTGATTATGCATGACGAGGGGTGTGTTATGCAGGTGTGTGTGAGGGCGTGTGACAAGTGTGTGGGTATGATCTGTGTGTGTGATGTGTTATGTGTGATGGTGATGCGTGTGAATATGTGTAAGAGTACGTGTGGCTATGACCAGTGTGCGGGAATGATCTGTGTGTGATGTGTGATTGTGATGTGTGTGAGTATAAGAGTGTGTATGACTATGAGGAGAAAATATTTTTGAAACATCTTATAACAGTTTAAAAATATGGAACATTTCTATAAAAGTTCCAGAGTCATAATATTTTGGTTTACTTTTCTCTCTTGAAATTTTGAAGTGTTTTGCTAATAGCAATAAATTATGAATCTCTGTACAAGAGAAGCTTGTTTTATTTCTTTCTAAATCTAGATGAAAGTATCAGGCATCTGGTGCTGGAGAGATAGCCCAGGGCAAGGCACTTGGACATGCCCAGCTGGGTTACTCCTTAACACCCACCTGGTCTCCCAAGCCCTACCACGAGTGAGCCCTGAGTACCACGGGGTGTGGCCCAGAAACAAAACACACAAAAACGGGGCAGGAACAGAAAAGAATGAGAGCACCAGTTAAAAGCTGAATTATGTGAAATCATTTACCAAAAAAATTCTGCAGTATTTAAGCAAGCAATATAGAAATCTTTACGTGGACTCCCAGCATTTTAAAAAGTAAAATCCTGGTGGGTTATACAGTTGGAACTACAGCCTGAAAACCCTCCACTCCACTGGCCCTGGTGAAGGTGACAGAGATGGAGATGGTCAGGGATGAGGGGGTCTCCTTTCAGAGACTGAGGTCCCAAACCCAGGGGATAAGCTCTAGTGCCAGATGAGACACGAGAGAAGCACAGCTCCCTCCCTACGTCACTGAATGCATGCATGATTCCTCAGGTGGTGAGGGAGCATCCCTGGAAAAGTGTCCTGGCTGGGCTCATGGCCTGGAGCCCAGAAGGAATCTCCACATGCCTAGTCGGGAGAGAGTTGCCTCTAGAACCTTGACGGAGAGATCATCTGTTCCCATGCTTCTGCCCTGGGCTAAAGAGGCCAAGGGTTAGACGCAGAGGACAATCTGCATAGACTGGTTGAGATCCACCACCACGTGAGGGATTCATGTACAAGCAAGAGGGGTTGGGTATGAGTAAGACCCTCCCAGTGCTGCCAACAGCCCCCCAGGTTCCTCACAGCGCTGCCTTAATAAACATCCCGGTGCTCCTGAACCAGCAGCGAGGATGCCTGGAGCTTGGCTGAAGCCCAGGTTAGTTGACAGGGACCCTGTGAGGAATTCAGCCACTTGCCACAGGTAGCGCCAACTCATCTGACCAGAGGCTGCAGAGACCCCAGCCTCAGAGACACTCTGCTCCATGCTCGCAGCTGCTGGTGTGTCTAAGCTGGAGGCGGTCACTCACTTACCATTCCCAACACTCCCTTCCTGCCTCCCTCAGAGCAGCCAGTGGAGTGCTGGTCACTCATGTGGCCTCAGTTCTGACTGGATGGCCTCTAGGTTGGAGGAAGGTTTTGGCAAGGATGCCCCCTTCTCCAGAGTGCCCCTTTCTAGTCTGGGCTCACTGCACTGAGACCACAGCTGAAGAAGCTTACATGCCAGGCCTGGTCAGCATGGGGTCAAATGCTCACACCCCCTTCTTGGCCTCGCTTCCCCAAAGGGTGTCCACCACCCCAAGTGTCATTTCATCAACCAGCAATGCCTGCCCGTGTGTATGCCAGCTGGGAGGCCCTGTTCGGGGATGTCATGGAAGGAATTAGGCTTCAGCAAGCTACATCTGGCCTCGGTAAATAATTAAAATGAAGGGACTCACACCTGGGAGACGTGTACCTGGCAGGAAGTGCTCAGAGCCAGGGAAGTTATTTATTACAACCTTCACGTTAGCCAACCGAAGGGGCCTGGGCTAATTTTATTTACCATTTACATTTGCTATTTATCAAAGTTGAAGTGTTCCTTATCTCTGGAGAGTGAGTGTGCTGATCTCCGAATTATTGCATTTGCTAAAGAAACTTATAAACCGTGTCCTGCCAACATGGGCCTATCTGGAGGAATTTGCCTGGGGAAATACGTGTCTCAGAATTTAATAATAGTCAAATGTTTGAACAAAGAGGTAAAGTTTTATGCTTACTTGGTTCAATTTCTTTATTTAAATCAAGTGAAGTAAATACCTACTCTCCCTAAATATTAAATAGATGTTCCAGGCTTTAATACCAGGCCATCTTAGTGGAACGTTTACTTCTTCTTTAATGCAAAAATTTATTAAATAATGGGAAAAATGCTTGAATGTTTTCAATATGTGTGGACATTTAAAAGTTGAATTTCTATTTTATTTTTAAGTTTGTATGATTTCCCTGTGTTATAGAATAAATAGTACTCAATATTAAAAAATTGTAAGGGTTGTGAGATAATACAGGGGTGAAGATGCTGCCTTGCTGTGACCAATATATAAAGGCTTGTCAATATATAAGGGCTTGCTGAGCCCCACCAGGAGTGACCCCTGAGAACAGACTAGGAGTAAGCCCTTATTGCTGTTGGGTGTGGCATCAAGTGCAAAAACTGAGGAAAGAAAGGTTATATAATACAAAGTGACTTTTCCCATTTAATCATTATTTCATTGAATACGCTCAAACTTCCTAATAATGGGAATCTCCTTTGTATGTTAAAGGCAAGTTTGTTATCAATTGCCACATCATGAAAATAATTATACTTGCAGATAGGTATTTAAAAAACAGAAAAATTCAAATAAATTTCTTCGTTAGGGAGGGAGTAATTCAAATAAACTACAAACCAATCTGCTCTATGAGCTATCATAGAATGTTGACAGAACAGTACAGTGTGTCAACACACATACTTGGAATTGCCCAAGAGGTGGCATTCCTGACCTTGCCAGATGTGGTGGACACGTGTGGAGTTGTGACCCTTGTCTTACCTCATGGACACCAGCTGCTCAGCACTGTCCAGAAGAAAGCCCTGCTCAGGACAGAGGCAGCTAAATCAGCTAGATCAGAAAGCTAGGGACCCCGGGGGAGACAGAGAGACCCCTGGAGACCCCTCCCCTGCCCCTGCCCTTCAGGACCACAGCACCTGCTCAGAACACTACTGGGTTCCAACTGCAAGGGCACCACTGAACTTGCTTCTTCCCGCATCTCACTGGGGTACATGGGGCCAAGGAGCTGGAGGTCAGTGGAAGGTTAGATGAGGGGGTGATCCCCAGTCAGGGGAGCCCTCAACTTTGTCTCCACAATGAGGAGAGAATTGGGGTCACTGGCATGCAGACCTGGCACATTCACAAAGCTCCACTCAGAATGACTCCTTGATGAAAATGTAAAGAAGTGCGGGATGATCAAACTCATGGGAGAGCTGGATCCCCCAAATGCACCAACCATCCCCACCAGGCCCTGGAAGGTCCCTGCTAGGCCCCCGGAAGGCCCTGCGCCCCGTGCCTTGGATTCACGACTAGGAAGCTGCACTCGGAACTGTGCCATTTTGCCTCCAGTTCAGTCAGGAGCCTCTGAAGTGTGTGGCCACCAATGTAGCCGGGCACTACTTATCTTCCTCACAGAGAGGATATACCGACATTCTAACTCCAGACCATCGTCCTTACAACAACAGACAAAACTCATCTCCAGGGGGCAGAAGGTACAATGGGACAGCAACACAGCCTCACCAGGCTTGGTCACTCTAGATGGTGCCCAGAAGTCTCAACTAGTAGTGACCAGTTCTATGGCCTCTCTGAGAATGACCTTAGAGAGGGAATGTTGAGGATGTTTAAGGAGCTCAAAGGAACAATGGAATTGACAGTCAGTAAAACACAAGAGCATATGAGAGCAGAAATGAGAAAACTATACGCAGAAATAACCAAACTAAAGAATTTGGTAGGTGAAATGAAAAACTCACTGGAAGGCCTCAGCAGCAGAGTAACAACAGTGGCAGTGGCTAAAAATCAGTGAACTCCAAGATTAAATGCAGAACATCTCCAAGTAACAGCACGAGATAGAAAAAAGACTTAAAATAAAGGAAGAGCAGACAAGAGAGCTCTGGGATAAATTCCAGGGTAGCAACATCAGTCTCTGAAGGGACAGAAAGGTAACGCTCACGAAGAAGCAAAAGTATCACTGAACAGTCAAAAACATCAGTGCTGAGAAGTTCCCAGAGCTGGAGAGAGGAGGCATCCAGTTCCTAGAGGCTCACAGGATCCCAGCTAACAGAGATCCAGCACTCCGAGACACACCCTGATCAGAATGACAAATGCCACAGAGAGAGATTTCATCGATTTGCTCGAGCGGGCCCAGTAACGTCTCCATCGTGACACTTGTTACTGTGTTTGGCATATCGAATACGTCACAGGGAGCTTGCCAGGTTTGCCGTACGGGCGAGATACTCTTGGTAGCTTGCTGGGCTCTCCGAGAGGGGCGGAGGAATCGAACTCGGATTGGCCATGTTGGCTGTGTGCAAGGCAAATGCCCTACCGCTGTGCTATCACTCCAGCCCAACAGAGAGAGATACAATACTTAAATCAGCTAGATCAAAGAAAGAAATTACACACAGATGAGCATTGATAAGATTTACAATAGATGTATCATGTGTACCTTCCAGCCCAAAGATAATGGAAGGACATAGTTAAAAAACTCAAGGAAAAGGATCATCTTTTATAGCAAAAGTACAATATGGGATAA